TCTATCGGCGCTAAATTTCTATCAGCAAATGCATATCCTTCGGCCTATACATTATTCATTGATCTATCTTCTGCTTCTTTTGGCATTTTGTGACTTTCTCAAATTGCTAATTGCTTTTGGCATATAAGTGGTTCGATTTTCCGAATAAGCAAACATACACATGAAAATATGTATACATTCGCTAACTCATCACTTTTAGAATATCACTAAAAAAGAGATCTCGTTCACTTTTAGTCAGACTAACTTTCATTCTTTTCAAAAGGCCACATTAAATTCCAATTCATATGATCTGCAATGTAACGACATTTCGATATAAAATTGCCTTGCAGCTTGTTGCTTAAGTTTGAAATAAATTATTTGAAATAGGTATTTGTCAATCGAAATACTCCCACACTGTACATTACGTGGATATTAAGTGAGTAATTAAATTTTGATTTAATCGATCATTTTGTAATGTATGTGTAGTGCTTTCCACTAATGAAAGCTTGGACGCATACCATGAGTTAAACATAAATAAACACATCCAGCTTATAGTTCGGAAGCCTTTCAACGTTAATTTATATCAGAAGACGATCTTTCAGTTTCATCTTTCCTCTGCTTGCTGTCGATTTGATTTTGATTGGTTTTGATTGGACTTTGATTAAAGTTTGATTAGTTTCATATCATATTTAAATTTAGGGATCAGTATTAGTAACGGAAATATCACAGAGTTTTGTAGGTTATCGGGATCAACCTTATCACGATTCTTAGTCAGCTTGCTTAAGTGATTCCGGATGTGAAGGTCAGTTTCTAATTTACATTAATTTGCACAAAGAAATTCGGGATTATATAAATTTGGTAATTTAATTAACTCCATTGATAATTTATCGATAGCACCAAAACAGAATTAGACCGAAAATTCAGGCAAGAACTCTTGAAACCTACTATAGCTTTTTTTTTCGAGCAGCACTTACGAAATAGGTTTTCGTTGCGCAAGTTCACTGCTCTTAAACTTTGATCTATAACATTCTCAGGATCCTCTGTGTGTCTAATCCGAATTATCAATCTTGTTTTTTTTTTTTTTTGGTTTAATTTGACTTTTCCTGCACGTTTTGATTTATCTCGATATTGGCTTAACTGATATCTCCATTTTCACCTATCCTTGTCTTCGGCTGGTAGAAATTTCTTTTCAGTAGTTTCTTATTTTTGCTTTCGAAATTCTTCCGAAGTTTTTGGGAAGAGTGCCTGTAAACATTTTGATGGTTATTAATTACTATCTGTTGACAAATAAATATTCCGCATTATCGAGCTTCAACAAACTTTGCTGTAACACATTGATTTAACGATGGATTTGATATAATGTCTTTCTTGCTCTCTTTTCTGATATATCCCTTCAATTTTGTGGTTAACTTTTCACATATTCATTTTTTTCAAACTTTGTAATGTTTAAATATAAAAATTCAAACTCTATAATATTTAAATTCCCGAATGATTTTTTCCAAAATGAGCAAATTAGTTGACCCGAAAGACACTGATGATCAAGTCACATCACCTTTCTGAATAGATGAGGATACAAAGTGACTGTAAATAACTGTCATAAGGTCAATGAGGGGAAAGAGATAACAATGGACACTGTAAAGTGTAATGACCCAGAATGTTATTTGTTGGTTTTGGATAGTATTATTTGCTCTGTTTAATGGTTAATTTCCAACTGACCTCACTGTTTCATTAACTTCCTGCTCTATATCAACCTAACAGGCCAGTCCGCTCCTTACGCGATTTGTTTACCGCTTTTCCCCTACTTTTACTGAAAATCCCGGGATATTCGGTAATCCTGGTTACTCTTCGAAACTGAAAGATTACAGTATTTGTCCACTTAACAGACACACCACAATATCATTCGTTCGGACTAAAGATCAAACTATTCCTATCGATGCCTCATACAAATACTCCTGCCTCATGCAATTTTGCTGTTCTCTATGTGGCCTTCCTTGTACTCCCAGTTGTCGTCCTCCCCATTTCAAATTCTCCGTAGTTTTCACGAATCCCTTGATTCCAAAAACTTATTAATTAGAAGGTAAGGAAAAGCACCTCCTAATTAGATGTCTTCCAGAAAATGCATGGAATAGCAGAGATAATCTGGAACTAAATGTACACACGAAGGAAATCAAGAGACAAGTAGCACGCACACATTGCCTTCGAAGCATCGCTAGTGCCGAAAAACCTTAACTTCAATCCCTCTTAACGGCGTCACTAATTATATCAGAAATGAAGGTTCTTCAATACTTCAGCCATAGTGACAATTGAAAAGATGCTGTTTGATGTTGTGGTATTCCAAATTCCCCATCTATTTGGAAGTCTCGAAGCCTAGAAGTTTTCTATAGAAATTTCATGTTCCACTCATTTTTTCCCTCTATATGTCATGAGATACATGTTGTTCAGGCCATATGCATTGCAATTACGAGAATTTACATACAATACCAGAACTTAACTTTAAAACCTGCCAATAACTAGTATAGTCCGCTCTTTTTTCTGATTTAATATTAATGCTCTCACAGATCCCTTTTTTCTCCACTTTTTTTCCCTCATCGCCTCGTACAGAAAAATATGGAGTTGTGCCCAGAAAATTGTTAGAAGTTCGACAGATGCTTCCACTTCACGATATTGAGTGTGAAATTCCCTACCTGATAACAATCTACTGTGAATACTACAAAATTATTCTTGTCCAATTTCTGAATTTACCTTAATTCGCCTTCATGGCAAAGCCAACTAGTGGTGTTCCTTCGTATTTTCTCCCGCACCTCCTTATCCCCAAGTTTAAGCTTGATTCCATTTCAATTGGTTCATCCATTCGCGATAGCTGTTTATCGGATTGGTGGGAATTCAATTTACACGATTAAAGATAATCAGAAAGCGCATCCTGAAGTGATCCAGGATGTGGAGCGAAGATGACAAGTGATCCCTTACTAAAAGAGGCTGCCTTAGTTGAGATGAAGTGGGAAAATATGCACATTCAGGATGGGCTAATCATTTGCAATACGATAAGCTTTGTTTAATCCTATTGTTCGATCTGTTAATAAGCAAAATTAATATTCTTATAATGGGACCGGCTGGGAAATTATTTCCGGCTGTTCCGTTATGAATCCCTTCAAGATATTGTTTGTTATCCGTCAGCCCTAATGATTTAATTGTCTGTAATGGCAGCTGTCGTCATGAATATTTTTTGCTTAGGAATTCCAACTTCAGCATTTTACAATACGAGATCATCTAATGCTTTCACAACTAAAACTACGGTTTCACAATGTCATTGATCTTTCACCTGGAGTAAAGTTCAAATTCTAGAAATACTGATAATGATTTACAAATAAAATGTTTGCTAAAAAATTAAACGGAAGGCTGGAATATGATGAAGTAATGATAATGAAAGTGGGAAATGGAGATATTGAGGCATAAGGGGGAGATTAATTAACGACCTGCCATCACTTATTGTTTGTCTATAGCGCAAATGAAGAATTTTGTGAGAATTGATGAAATGCATTAAAGGATATTTTGGAGAAATGTCAACTAGTGATGGTTTTTAGAATGGTCGCTTTAGCGTTTCAGGCGCTTTTTTATATCAGATACTTTACAGCACTCGCTCGCAGCAGCTGTCCATGAAAGGCTCACTGTTCGCTTTGGGTGCTATCTTTAGACATTAATTCAAATGAGAAGGAATGAATACAGACTTTACTTTGTCTCATTTTAGGGGGACAACTGGTACTCTCTTCGTTTGCAAAGTAATAAACGCCGCTTTCTATCCCAGTTGTTTTTTTTATTCTGCCGACAGCAAATCTTTCCACTAATGGTCAAAAATTTCTAAGCCAGGTTTTGTCATTCTGGTTATTTCAGTTCCTTTTTGTTGACCGATAACTCTGGTTTGACTGTATTTAGTCTGGACACCATCGCTGTGCGGAAATTGTATTAGTTAGGTAATTCCAAACATGTGAATATATTTCTAAAAGTTTCGAGCAAGACGTACCCAAGCTAGACATTAATGCCTGAAATCACAGACGAAAGGGAAAAGATTTGAAGGATAGGCACATCTAAATGAAATCAGCTTCAATATACCCTCAGAGTGGGATACAGAAGCGCAGTCCGGCAATATTAGCCGGCCAATTTTACTATTTTGGCAGAAAAAAAACCACTGATATATGAATTTGCATATCCCACGTAGCTTACACGGTGCATACATACTATAAAAATATTGAAGAATACCCTTTCTTTATTTCACATATTTTCTCACGCAGTAGACAGTCATTTCTCCTTTTTTTTTGATTGTCTCCTTTGCCTCCCCTTCCTCTCAACACAGCTTTGCGTCAATTTCGTCATAAGACAAATCGTGCGGATATAACTAATCGGGTGGTTTTGTTCATTTCTTGGGAGTGGACTGCTTTAGCTCTGTAGATGATATAAGATGGCATATAGAGCGAATGTCCATTTGGTTGGTTATTGATTTGCATATTAATTTATCCGTTTTATTATGGTGAGCATATTGGGAAGCAAGGATCTTGGGCATTTATGGTGTGTAACTTTCGTCCGTTTCAATTTAGTCGTTTTTGCTTGAATTCAGAAAGTTTGCTTCACTTTCTACGTTCAACTTTTAGTAACAAGCAGAGCTTTTTCATGTTGGTGACGTTTGTGGCTTACTAAAGCACTCGATAAGTAGAATAAGGATGTGCCGATTTAGGATAATATATGCGATGACAGCTGTTCTATTCATTTCCATCCTTGGTGAGCTTGAGGTTCCCTTCATTTGTCATTCTACTCTTTGGTACCTTCCTTTGTATCCATCCTCCGTCATATATCTTTGTTTTCCATAAGTAAACATAGATAATCAGATCGCTCCTTCACAGAATCGAAGTTGATTTTTTTCATTTTGAAAAGATAAATAGGCTGAAGCGCTGACCGCATCAACTTTTCCTGCAACGTCATTAAGTTTCTGGAGGAGTTCTTCATAGTGATATTCCAGTGATTGCGATGAAATGCTGGTTGCCTTGCTTACCACCATAGTACTGCAATGGCTGCATTTAGCATACGGTGTCGTCCAAAATTTTTTTCAAGGAAGAACCGAAAAATCAGGTCAGCTCATGCTAATTTTAAAGCATTTTTTTGAATTTGTCACTTTCCATTTCGCAGTTTAAAAATGGGAAATAAAACAGCTTCTTGGTGTTCCAGAGCGTGTTACTTGGCGAAGATGTACTCCTGAAATGTTCTGCTCATCAGTCACCATTGGTCAGCCAGTGGCGAAATAATGATGGCAGTCTTTTGGGGCAAGTTACTTACCCTTTTAACTTTTCGACTGTTATCGTTCACCAGGAAGAACTCGTCTGAGGTGCTTCAAGCAATTCCTTTTTGAATTTTAATATTCTTTGTACTTGTTTACATCTTAACGAGTACGACACCGAAGGTGAAAGTCGTAGGAGCCACTTGTAAGGTGGCAAAGTAAATTATAATAGATTAAGTAATTACTTTGCAGTTTTCACGATGCAGGGAAATTAGCAGGGCATGAAGGTCGATACAGCTATGTGACCCATAGTCCAGATGAAAAACACTTAAAAATTGAAAATGTGACACTGAGAGACGATGGGTTGTTTGAATGTCAAATGATACATCCCAGCCTGGGTGCTTATCGAACATCTGCCTCCGTCAATGTCTTAGGTAAGGTAATCCCATCATTCATCTCGACGGTTTTTAAAAGGTTGTTGGTTGTGAACAATCAATCCGTTTTCATGGTTTTATTGAGTGTTGTTGGGAAGCCATTTTCTTAATAATGATTTGTCAGTGCGATATCACCATTCGAAATATATTTGGTCATTTGAAAGACAGCTGTGAGATATTATAGTGAGTTTAAGCATATAATTTTATTCCTTGCAAGTATCGGTAAAACTTGTTCGTTAAATATGGTAAAATGGAGGGATACACTTTCAGGCACTCAACCCGTTGTTTCTTGTATGATCTGCACTTTTAACATCCTTAATAGCATTATCGATTTGCAGTGCCGCCGGAAAAAGTTATTATTATGGATATTGATCCTGGTTCTGTTATTAATGTTGTCGAAGGAAATGATTATAATCTGAGTTGCTTGGCAGTCAATGGAAAACCTCATGCACTTATAAATTGGTATATTTACGGGACGAAGATTGACGACAGTGTTAAACGGTGGACGGAAATGAATACAAATCGTACAGTCACCGCTTTCGCAACGCTCTTCTGGAAGCCCCGGTACATTTTTGTTAAAATAAGTTCTCTTAATTTTTAAATGTAGACGAAGTTTTGTATTCCAGAGCTTTACTTTTTTTTCCTTTTACAGGAGAAGTGACACTGGAGCGGTTCTCACTTGTGAAGCTTTGCATCCGTCGACTTCTACTCACTTCAAAGTGAATATCACACCAAATGTGCTATGTAATCTTTTGAAAATTATTACTTGAAGTAGTGACCACCCTTTCACATTCCATTACGGTGTAGTGGAATTTTATCCGTCTACAAAAAGCAATTCTCGCACAGGTTGGGTGTTTAGCATTATCGAAAGGCTCTTTTTTTAAAACTAGTTCTTGTTTCTCTTTTCAGACCCTTCGGAAATGCCAAAGATAGATATTTTAAGCCAGCCTGGTCTTATAAAACCTGGCGATAATATCACTATGAAGTGTTCAGTTGTCGGAGGCAATCCACCACCCAGACTTCTTTGGTTTCTTCATGGGAACCTTATTGGTAGCAATTATACGTATGATGAATCAGCGGAAGTATGTTGTTTAGTCTGAATATTCCTATATACCATAAGTCTGTTGTTCATTTTAAATCTTGTCTTGTTTTGCAGTTCAGGACTCCCCTTCACTCCTCTCTCTCCGGATTAGCAGACTTTTTGAAAGAATGATAAGAAAGTTACGTGATGATATATTATCATAAACTGTTGTAATACAATTTTTCCTCATTGGGACTTTTACCATAGGAAACAAAGATCGTTTTTGCGCATCATGTGTATATTATATATTTTCAGGAAACTGTAAATATTTATTCAATAATAGTTGATGCAAATGATAATGGTGCTGTGTATGAATGCCAGTCAACAAATTTGGCCGATGATGAACCTCTTTCTGAAGGCATTCGTCTTTCTGTTTCATGTAAATTTTTGAGATTCTAGTAATAGGAAATTGTGTTTTTAAATCTCCTGCAAAAATTTTAAATTCTAGATGCTCCTCGCAGCGTTGAAATATCCGGTGAAACAACTACACGTATTGGACGTATTGTTGCAGTGCAATGTAGAACAGGGTATGTTAAATGCTAAGTAATGTTTTGCGCATGACCTGAATAAAAGCGCATGATTAGGAAAAGGAAATGATAGGTTTCAACGATCATAGGAATTTCCGACCACGTCATGATATAAATTTTAGATTATCGAATCCAGCAGCCAGGATTTCTTGGCTGATTAATGGACAGACAGTACAGTCAGTGAATCATTCATATTTGGAGCAGGCCACCGGTACTGTTACTGTTTCAAATCTATCCATAATTCCAACTGATATAAATGTAATCAAGCATCAAATTAATGTTCAATGCACTGCCATAAATGATGAAGGAACAACAAGCAAGCAACTCATTATTCGCATCTTTTGTAAGTTTTGTTTTCTTTTGAAATGTGGAGATTATTGAAGTTAATTCTCACGACTGAAAATTTTCAGTTTCGGTGTATACTTTCAGTAATTGTTATCTGGGTTTATAGCACCACCCATGAAACCGATTATTTATGGATCTGAAGGGATGGCGCTTCGAGAGGGTGAAACTTTGAACCTTACATGTGAGTCTCAAGGAGGAAATCCACTGGCGACGTTGACGTGGTTCAGGGGTATCGAAAAGGTTCAAAATTTTCTTTCTAAACTATAATTCAAATAGTAGGTCTCTGATGGAAGCTAAAAAGAGAATCTCCATGTAAACAAATAGCAAACATTTCAAGGAAGTTAGCTTTTGGTTATTGAATGTGGGAGTTTCTGCACTTCTTTCAAAGATTTCTTTTTTGAACTTTTTTTTAATCCTTTTCAAGGATTCTGTTGTTATAGCGAAGTTCCAAACACAAACATAAAATTCGCTGGAAAGAGGTTAGGCTATTGGTAGTTTAACACTTGTCTTGTGTCCACTGTATCGCGTTAGTGTTCTTCATGCAATTGTTATGCACGTATGCTTATTTCTGAATGCCCAACTGTTTACTGATGATGTTAGAACATCAGTTGTACAGTACAGGTACCTGAACTTTCTACATTCCCATGAAAGAAAAGAATGCAAATAGGAACGCATGAATTCATTCGAAAACAATTTTCGTATTTTCATCTTGTCCTTTCTTAGTGTGTTATCAACTTATCAGTATACAATATTTTTAGCTTAGAGGAACAAGAAATGCTGTATCGGGTGACATTTCGCAAAGTGTCGTATCAGTTCTCCTTGATCGTACGATGAACAATCAGCAATTAAAATGCGAAGCCACGAATGGCGCTCTAGATGAACCGCTTGTTGTCACAAAAACCTTCGTTGTTTTATGTCAGTGATAAGATTTTTGGGTTTTAATGTCTAGTTAGACCAGTAGATAAGAGAAGTTGAGATAATTTTGTGCATTAAAAACAAAAAGTATTTTCAGTTCCACCACGGCGAGTTACTGTGCGTCAGGATGACCGAAGTAAGCGATTGATTGTAGCGGGAGAAATCACGAAACTTTTTTGTTTGGTCCATTCTTCGAATCCAGTAGCGCAGTTGATGTGGACTTTCCCTGTTGTCAGTTCTGAGCTGTTGTTTGAAGAGAAACGCAATAACCGATCGTGAGTCGAATTAATAACACAGTTATACATGCTTTCGCGGTTTGAATCGCTATCTTGTTCAGTGCCACAATTCAAGTTTATCTTGAATGTTTCATCGATTTCAAATATTTGAAGGAATCAAGAATATGGTGGACATGAAGTGGAAAGTGTTATTGAGTTCATTCCAACGGAAGAGATGGATGGCGGTGAGGTTCAGTGTACTGCATCACATCCACAGTGGGTTGAACAGAAAGTTGCAATATATCCATTGAATGTACTTTGTGAGTTGCATTGTTTAGTTAACACAAAAAACGATGTCTGCTGCGATTTTTTTCCTACTCAAAATTTAAGAGATTTACTTTACATAATTTTCGCAGGTCGATGAATGCAGTTTTTAGATGCTCCACGAATGGTAGTAAATGGGCCTTTAACGATTGTCATCGGTGAGGGTGATGACTTCAGAGAAAATTTAACATTACGTGCTAATCCACCAGTGAGTACTTGGAGATGGCGAAAAGATGGTTCGCATTTTGAACACGGGGTCGGAGCCATCACAGCTAGAGGTACATTTTTTAAACATGCTTATTTTCAATATTTCGTGGACCTCTTTGTTAATTGACTTTAGGAGATTTATTGCAGGGCCTATCTTGTCTGGACGTTCGGTGACCAGATTTGATAGCGGTCTCTTCACGCTGATAGCGGGAAACGGTGTTGGCACGGTCAATGTTACGGTCCATGTAATTGTGGAATGTAAGTTTTATTATCTTTTCCTGAATTTTCCCTGGGTTAATAATGCCTGCGGGAAATTGATGAGTTTTAGCTTGTTTCGACGAAAATCTCGAAGGAATTATTGTGAGATGTATAAAGGAATTTGGAATGTTTGTTCTGCAAATAAATTATGCTAATTGTTTATCCGTAATTGATGTCTTTTTTAGGCAATTTTTATCTTCTTTTTTGATGTTCAGATGCAGCGTACGTAACGCACATAACTTCACCAGTGATGGCTTCCGCAGGTGAAGAAGTAGTTATGGAATGTGAAGTGGATGGCGTTCCTAAGCGTGATGGTATGGTAAAATGGTTACACGGGGAGCAAATTATTGAAGGCGTGTCACTTGTTGGACAAACCAGAGCTGTTATGCGACTTAATGCTTCATTTGAAACAAATGGTGCTTATACCTGCCTTGCCGATAACGGAAAAGGGGTGGTTAGTTGTCTTCATTTACGTCTTTCAAATGAATTTGGTTATGGTGCGTTTGGTTCTATGTTCTTAACCAGTAGTTGCTACTATAATGCAATTTGGATATCCTTTGTCAATGCTTTTGAGTAGGTGAAGAATGTGTATAAATCGCAACGACTTATTGGTCGTCGTAATTTAGTTTGGTGTTAGGTTTTAGGATTTCTATATTAATTAAGGCTAATCGCACTGTGGCATATCTGTTGGTGAATCGTGCACCAGCAATCGTTAGACAGCCATCACTTTTACGAGCAGCTGGACCTTTGGGAGGACGAGTACAACTGCGCTGTAGAGCAAATGCAGTTCCAGATGCTCATTTCCAGTGGATCGTTCCAGGCCAGTTAAGCCCAATTCGGCGTAATAGTTCTAAATATTCCTTCACAACCCTTCAATTGAATTATTCCACATTTGAGGTTGGTGTCGTTTTCGTAATTTAAAATAATTTTCTAGTCTTTGATAAATCTTCAAATTTAAATCATATTTGGAAATTTATAGAATAGTTATTAAAAAGTGTGAAAGACGTTTAAATTCCAGGGTGTGTTTTATATTTCTTCTCTGGATCGTTACGACTACCAGCATCCAGTAAAATGTTTCGCAATAAATAGGTATGGAGAAGATACTGTTGAGATCCGGGTCAGTCCGCCAACGGCCCCAGACACTCCGGTCTCATTACGTGTTTCAAATATTACGAAAAATTCTCTTTCATTTAACTGGATTCCTGGTTTTGATGGAGGTTCGGAACAAATATTTGAAGTGCGTTACCAGACATCTATGGAAAATGTTTATCATATCATTAATTCGTCATTTCCGGTTAGTTCTTTGGAATGTTTAAAATTTCACACCATCGTTGTTGGATAAAATAGGTTAGGTGGCAAACTGCATTTCATTTATCAGCAAGTTTTTCGGCTACTGCGGGTTTTTTATAGAGAACCCATATACATTGAATGAGGTTGAAACATGAAGCATGCTTTTATTTTTCTTAGTCTTCTGTGCATACTCTTTGGATCTTATGAGGAATTTTAGGAAGTAGAAATCCGAGGATTGGAACCGGCTTGCCTGTATGAAATCTCAATCCGTGCACGGAATAAACGTGGCATGGTGTCAGAATTTTCTCGACCACCTATTATTGTGTACACGAAAGACGAATACGGAATGGACGTTGTTAGTGTGACAAAGGTTAGCGGGTATCTTATGTTTTGGAATTTCCAAGTCTTTGATAACTCTAACTCATGTTAGCTGCTTTGAAGGATTGGACTATGAAACGGTGTCTTCTAAAAATGACTGGTGTATTAGTTTTAGAAAGATTCTTTTCCTGTGCCAGTGATCGTCGTATTTGGTGTATGCTGCGTCATTCTGCTGTTAATAAATTGCTTCCTGCTCTGTTACATGCATCGACGAAAACAGAAGAGGAAGATGCAAGGTGGGTTTGATAGCGTTTGATTCGTTCACTACCTGAAGTCCTTGCAAGTAGATTTTAATTAGTTTCGCTCAATAATGCTAAAGGTAGCTCTTGTGCTATTTGCTCTAGAATAATGTTTCAGAAAAAACGGAGATGGTGCGAAATGCTAATAATAGTGGTGCAGATGTAAGACTGGTACAGATGTACGGAGCGTTAACTAATGTTGAAAGCCCATGTAGGCCAGATTCGACCAATACGAACAGAAGCGAATTAGGTCATGAACCAGATTCTGAAGATGACCGGAGTTTGCGAACAATGATTGTATGTGTTGGTTTCTTCTTTACAAATATTCCCTGTTTCGCGTTTCACTCCAGTGCTTTATTTTTTTTTTCATTTTGAGTGGTATTTTTTTTGAGGAAGTTAGTCCAAATGGATATGTGCAACAAGTGGATCCAGTCAATTACTATGAGCGGGAATGTTTGGTTGAATATGAATTTGATCGTAAGTCATAACTTTCTTTAACTTATTGTCTAAATCTTAATTTTGCATTTTTCTTGTTTTTATTGCTAAAGAATGCCACCTGTCGCTTTTTAGCAAATTTGTATGGTGGTGTTATCAAATCGAGTACGTTGCGAGGATCATCGCATAATTACGTCAATCTTCGCTGTCCAGTACTTCTTTTCTTTTTTTGAGTTCTCTTCTTTGTTTGAAATAAATAAAAAATATCTACATGGAGTGTAATTCTTACATTAATTGATGTGTACAAATGGAAATCTCTGTAAGTTTAGTAATTTAGGATTAACTTTTTTCCACGTCATATTATTAAATGAAATTGTCAGTTACTGTAGAACTTTTTTATTTAGAAGGCATCAGAAAGCAGTGATACAGCTGTTAACTTTGCGAGTGGAGATTCATTATCGCTGATGGATGTAAATGATGGTTCTCCACGCCGAATACATAAACCACGTATCATTGATACCAATTCTTCAACCAATTTGCTCGCAAATAATACCACACCGCAAATGTTGAGCACATTTTTACATCGTGGTGGAATACATACCACTCCATTTAATTTTGCGCATATTGATGGTGACCTCGTGTAACCTTTGTTTCCAAAAGCTTGATGTTCCATGCAGAATACTTAGGTTTAATTATTCATAGTGGTCTTCAACGTTGTAAAATTATTCCAAGTCCAAAACAGGCTTATTCCAAGTGCAGGCAGGAATAAAAAAGAGAAAATTATAACCTTTATGGTTGCTTGAAATAGCAAACAAATACCATTTGCAGCTTTTCTAATTACTCAATACGTCACAGTCAGTATGCTTTTATTAATATGCATTTATATTGCTCTGAAAACGTTAACTTGGTTTTTGCGACGGGTTTTCTTTTTTTTTTATTCAGAGTTGTGCTTCGCAGTGACAACTATCCAAAATACTTAACTGTCTTTGAATTCCACATTTATGAATTGCAAATTTAGTTTCATGTTTCTACTATTTTCCTTTTTGCCTGAAATGAACAAAGGAATTAGTGCAACTAATTTAACTATGATTTCAGTCACCCACACCCGTGTATGTGTTGCCTTTTTTGTTAGTTGGTGCTGAACTATTGTTTTCCTTAAATAACTGCCCCATCATTCATTCGCTGACTCTATACTATCTCCATTTCATTCCTACTTTTTTCCTTTGAATTTTAATTTTTTGGGGTTCAAATACAAACATTCATTTAAAATTTTAATTTTTTGAAGTTCAAATACGTTCATCCATTTTAGACAAATTTTATCAATTGCGCAGCTTTGTTGATTCACTAATCCAGTTTTGTTAGCAGATGTACTTACAAATTCCGTCTTGAATTTTGTTTTTTAGTTATTGCTGGTTTGCTCAAACTTTTACCATCTTACAGTTAGTGGTTATTCATGTAAGTTGAATTGTTAATAATAGTGCATGAACATTATAGGAAGTCATACCATTATTTTGTGTTGTTTTAATGCAGACTTTTGATAAACACGGTTTCATTTTGTCCCTTGATATAGTGAACCATTCTAATCAACCAACCCAACCACTGGATAGGTTGAAATCGTCGGAATCGTTAATTACCTTAGGTGGACTGATGCTTGTCCTTGTCAAGTGCATGGTTGTGACTTTGATATGCTTTACTAATTATTCTTACAGCTTAGGTAAGATTTCAACATTTGCGATCCGCTTGGCTTAAAATTGGTCCTTGTGGTCTTTAGGAGAACTGAGAGCCGAAATGTTTTCCCAACAGTTGTATTTTCAGAAGCGAATTGGGACGGACTTCCCTGCGAGAGAAAAGGTCAGTCGAGTTGGCGTAAACAAAGCAGTTGTTTACATCAACTTCGTCATGGTTTTTCGCATTTCAGATAATTGAGGTAATGTGCTTGGGTTTCAGACTAAAAACCGTATGGCTATTGTATTTGAGTCCAGTATACCCTTAAGTAGGAGAGAGGACGGAGAGGTTGGAGAGTATTGAGGTTTCGGGCAAAGGTTAGGAAATAGCCATAAGCTCTCGCTAAGAGTGTTAAAACTATATGTTAGCCTCACTGAGATGGCCTCACTGATATAGTACATGGTTTCTTATATGTTGGCCAAATGTTTCGAAAAATTGCCATGGATACGGCTGTATGCAAACATATAGGGTTTGAGTAAAGAGGTGAGGTGTGGTTGGGTGGTTGCCTAGACGAGATGGCCTCACTGATATACTCACGTTCCTGTGCACAAACTTGATTTGGTACCGAATGCCTTGCTGCTACTTACTGCCCTATGTATTCAATGTCCATATTCTTCTGGTTGGCTATTGTCATCTCGTTACTACCCAACAGCGTTTCGAACGACATACACTGCCTACAGATCATATTGTGGTACTTCATTTTTATTCTTTCATGAGCTATTATGATAAAACTGCTTCCTCTATGTTAACTGTTGAATTTACAACTCAACAAAGTGCTATGAACTCCGCTCCATTCTTAACTGGAGCTCAGAAGTTGCTCACAGGGTTACTTGGGATTTTCTAAAATAATGTTAGCTTTACCTAGTCTAGACTGTCTTTACAGAGCGCTGTTGAAATTACTACCATCTTTTATAGGGAATAATTCTATGTCCTTTAATTTACTCTGAGACCTTAGATATTAGAAAAAAGGGTAGGATCAATTACGTGGGATTGTTCCCGAAACAAAGATTTGGATCTCTCAAAGTGCTGAATTTTCGATTTGAGTAATATGAAGACTATGCCGCACAGGTACATTCATCCAGTTCCAATGTTTCTATCGCCGATTGGGTAGTTGTCATCTCAGATGAATCAAAGGTCGAGTTCCAAGAAAAGTTTCTGCATGGAAAAGTTTGGTCGGGAAATTCAAGATTAAATTTTCAACCGCATGGACAAACGGAAAATTTTTCCGCTCATAACAATGTGCTTTCCGTTTTCGAGCTTTCACAAGTAATTCTGCAAACAAAGTGCAAACAAATTGAGATAAGTTTATTGTTTCCATCACGAAAAAATTGTTCGCCTTGGTTGCGAACTCCTCGAGAAATTGTTTCACTCGAAAGAGGGATAATTCCCATATGAGAGATGAGACCTTCGATTGCTTGCCTAAAGTGAAAGGCGACTGCATCTCCCAACTGCAGTAACTCGCTATCAACGTGATAATTTCAAAAGGACTATTTGTTCCTGGAGAGTTATAATCGCAAATTTTTTTCCCCGGGATTAGATGAGAATTTCGCCTTTTGAAGGATCGATTAGATAGTCTTCAATTAGAGACAAAGAGGTAGAAAGAAAAAGCAGGGTGGTTGGTAGTCCTTCTAACTCCTAGTCTTCTAAACCGTCTTTATTATTCATTGAAGTACAAGCTCCTTTGGGATGAGTCAAAAATTAGTCAAAATTATGGAATTTGTCTAGCTATGATGTTAAGGAAATCTCCTTTCTTGGCTTTCTTCAGGGGTGGTAAAGTTGCTTCATTTTGATTAAACTGAAATCCATTAATCAATTAATCATTAAATTTGACTTTCAGATGTTTCTCAGGTCAAATCGAAGCACTGATGGTCATTCCTATATGGAGTATAGAGCCGATAAGAATGTCAACTTAATTTTCTCCAGTGGTGTTACTGAAGTGAATGCAATCAATGGCCGTTGGGCTCATGTTTCGGCTATTACTTGGCAGTTACCTGTGACTGGTCAAATCACCTTTGGTTCCAATATTTTAAATGGTCTGAGTCGTCAGCTTCATATTGTATCAGTTAGCAGTAACCACAATGTTAACATGACTATTTTCGACGCACAGGTTGACACTTTCGAGATTTCCATCTTGTTCTGTATTTCTTTAATTACCATTACTTGTCTAAGTATAATGGTTCAGTTTCCGTTTTAAAAACATGCGTGAAATTTCTTCTAAGACTTTTGCAATTTTGTGACCTAACTTTTACCAAGAATTGCTATAATTTGTATGATGATAGCTATCTTTACTTTAGCTTTGCTTTGAGATTTTTCGTATCTTAAACTAACAGTATTATTCAGATGCAATTGCGATATGGAGATATTACCGTACAGATAACATCAGATTGTCGTTTTCTGAGAATAACATCAACACTGTATATGGTTAATGTAAAAACTACTGTATTGCCTTTTGAAATTACGATTTTGGACCAGGAAATGATTGTGCGATGTGAAAATGAACGAGCAGTTATACAATTGCTCCCCAATTCGTCGAATATCATCATCAGCACAGATCAATATTCCAGGTATTTAAGTTTTCAACTAATTGATTTAGAACATTCGTCGCGAAATCCAACATTTTATGTTTTGTAATTTCTAAAAAAGTTGGTTATTTGGAATAGTTTTTTCACTTTCTCTGCTTCATAGTATAAGATTAGCACTTTTCATAGAGTGGTCATTGATCGCGGAAGAGAAGCGGTCGTCCTAGGAGGTCAAGAAGTACGTCCTGCTGGTAATATAAATCTTTTATCAATGCAGTTAAAAATTTTACTGGAATCTGGCAATATCAGCTCCATTCATGCATCCACAAATCGTTCACAAATTACTATGCAGACTACCTCAACAAGTGTTCGCATTTTCTTTCCATCAGATTTAATTCCTTCCTTTTTTCTGAGCGCAAACATTGAAATTATATTGATGGATCTTTCGAAACCCATTTTTAGCGCAAACATGAATTAAATAACTGCAATAATTCCTTAATTTTTATTTTCATGTGTTACAGATGACTTCAACAGCTGCGCAGCATGCCGTGGATATTATCGGTGGAAGAATAAGTTTACAAGTTTTCACGGGCAACGTTTCAATGCATATCGTTGCAAACACTCATTTAGAATCATTGCCAACCATGTTAACTCCGTTTCTAACTTCTCAAGATCATTTTCAAGATATCATAGTGGATAATTTCAACTATAATTTCCCCGCGGATGAACTTAATAATAGCAGTGATAATACGGTATCAGCCACACAAGTACCACTTACGATGGCTGTCCATTCAGTTTCAGATGAAAATAGTGATTTTCAAGCTGGGGTTGCTACAGCAACTGATCGCCATATTTATGAAAGTATTACCGAATCAGCTTTTACGATCCCTTTGCTTCCTCTTTTAACACTGTCAACCACAAAGCATACCGACACAGTTTCACTTGTATTTCCTGAACAATCATCATCGACCGTTTTAACCAGCAAGACAACTTCAATGCCTTTAACTTCTAGCGGAAGTACAGCTCTATCGTATTTTGATAATACTTCACTCATCAGTTTTATTACTGGAGCTACAAAAATGGAACAAGTTAGCACCTCAATGAATGTGCCTAGTTGGCCAAAAGTTGGAGAAACAACGGCAGCATCAATTGTTTCATTAAATACGTCAACAGTGGCTTCTTCAGCCACAATGAAGACCAATTCTTCATTTACGCTAACATCCGTGCCTTCGAGTATGTTATCCAGTTCACCAGCTACTCTGCTTTCAGCCATTTCGCTTATTCCGGTTGAAACATTGACCACCAGCCGTAGCAGTATGCCGGTCATTTCTCGCATCCCGCAATCATTTATTAGCACTTCCACAACAAGTAGCTTTGGTAATGTTAATGAGGTTGTGGTTTCTGACAAAGAATATCCTGATGATGTAAATCGTGAGTATGTTCAAACCGATTTTATCGAATTTAGTTGGGATAATGTTGCAGAAAGCAGTATACCTATTACAACGACTGCCATCGTAATTGTCACCACGGTGCACACAGGTAGATTTGCCGCTTCCTGTGTAATTTTGAATTTTGAAGAATTTTTGAGGGAGGCAAGAATAGCAACTTCTACGATTTTCAGAAATGCCAAGTAATGTAGCATTTAATGTAACCCTCTGTTAATGATGGTATAATCGACTGCCCTCCATAATCGTGCATGATTTATCGTAGGGGAATCATAGTGTTGCTCGTTCTACCATTCTTTTCAATCCGTTACCGCTTAGAATCTCAATTTTTTGGATAATCTGATCTTCGACAGTCAGGATTTTGCAATATATCATATTCCATAAATTTCAAATTGGTATATATCAGCTGTGAAATTGTAGAAAGGAGCAAGAAAAATGTTTATTTTAAAATTTTAGATGCAGGACTAAGTCTTGCACAGCAAAAAATGCGAAGTACTAAGTGTATTGAGATAGAATCATCAGAAAGGCAGAATACCCGTAAGTTGAAGTATCATTGCTGTTTTTCACGGCTTGTTTGTGGTTTATAATTTTTTCTTTGAAAATCAAATGCTTACAGGGTCAGTTCCAGTCATATCTATTACTTTTGTAAGGAATTTAACAATGCATTGTTTTCAACGTTGTATTTATTGATCAAGTTTAATTCTGACTTTTGTTTGTTTTGATGTTTCGATTACCTGAGCTGCATATTTTACATTTTGTGTAATATCCTTTCTTCCTAAGATTCAATATTTTCTGATGCTTGCATATGCTAAGAACCTAGCAGAGCTTACGCTGATGACCGCTTTTATTTGTAGCACTGTTTACCAATGAACCAGCAGTAAAGGCCACATCAGAAGCGACAGTAAAACCGATTATTGTGAAAACAAATCGTTCAATCGGTCATAATTTCATAGTTTTTTATTAGATACTTAAATGATTCCTCATTTATATTCTCTTCTACTACTGTTACTCTTTTATCGCTTCAGAAATTCCAGGTTCAGCATGGACTCCATTTGCTTCTCTACCATTTGAATTCCCACCAACTGTTCATTACCCGTCCACTGTTTCAGTTCGAAAGGGTTGTTCATTTCATGATTACCTCTTTTCTTGAATAATGCAATGGCGATTTGTATATATATATATATATTAGAGCTCCTTTTACTTCAACACTTCAGATATGCTTTGCGTTTCAGGCAGTTTCATCCTACAAAATAACGGAGCAAAGAGTGAAATGACTTTTGACGCAAATGAAATTCCAAACAATAAAGAATGGAATAAAAGTACTTTAATTGTCCCTGCTGATCCAATGATCAATTTTTTGAAAGAAATTTTCGGTAAAATTGTGCAACATGGCTCTCCAAGAAAAGAAGATCAAAATAGCCATGAAAATCCAGGGACTGAATTCGAACAGCAGCAAAATTTCTTTCCCAGTAGCAAATTCAAACGTGCATTATCTAGCTTCGAAAATGAAGAAATCTACGAGCTTCAGTTGAAAATCCCACTTGATATCAATTTAACGGCCGCGGATTTGCATCGTCAACTGTTAAAAGTATTGAAAAAATTTGTGCTTTTCACTAGTTTGCATGAAGGACGCTTACCAATCAGCGAAGATGCAATACGGATTAAGGTCAATTTTAACCTTGTTCCTCCTTTAGCTTTGTGCTTAAGACTCGTTTAGTTTTGTTTTTGTTTTGTATGGGTCAACCTTTTTGATTGTTTCTATGTTGAGTGCACATGCCTATTGTACTATAGAGGGTAAAACCTTTAAGCCTAGACGTGCACCAAAAATTACTGAAATGTAAAATAAACTGGTGCAACTCAGAGTTTGCCACCACTTATCAGCTTAATTTCTATTGATAGCATATTTAAATATTAAAATTGAGGCTTATCCAGTAATAGAAATTGCCTTTATTTTAATTAAATTTTTTGTTCTTTACCCATTATTTAAAAATTTCAGATAACAAATATGGAACGAAACGGTGAATACCTGAAAGTACTTTACTCAGTATCTGTTAACGCAAAGGTAACTCCGTACACAAGTGGTTGTAGTGCTGTGGTAAGCTATTTCCTTTAGAAAGTAAATCGAAATTTATCTGCACTTTCTTATTTCAGTTCTTTCCACGATATCAGCTGTGTTTAATGAAAAATAATAATAACTGGAAATGCCAAACTAGGCATGTACTTTATTACACACTTTAAAGCAGTAAAGCATTTTCCTTTGGCACAGTGATGGGTGACGTAAAGGCCACTACTAACACCATGGAAACCAATAAGAGCCTACGAGTGTTCTTTCAGATTTGAAATCTCTGTTTATTTGTTAAGGATAATTATTGCAAAAATCAAATTTTGTAGTAAAAAGATTCAGTGTAATCGATCATAACTTATTGAAGATAAATGAAGCATCCAATTGCACCGGAAATCTTGAATTCAGTAGTGCTGACTTAATATTCATCATAATTGGTTTCCTGATTCTTTTATTTTCTACCGGTGCTTTATTGGTTTGCCACAAGCAGTGTCACAAGCTTGCGGTAAGAATTGCTTTCTAATAAGTGATACTTTCAAGTCAGTGAATATCACACAGTAAATCGTCATTTTATGTTATATGATATCGTCCTTGTCTGACTTGACTATTAATCAAGCACAATTCGGTCTGCAATAATTATGTTAACTGGCAACTTTATTTATTACCATCGTTAATTCTTTTCCTTTTTTCTTTTTTTTCAAAATCTTTACAAAATGTTCCGTTCAAAGATCGATCAGCATGCCAACCATGATAAGTGCTAAATGGAAGTCGAAATCAGTCTTTTGATTTTTTAAAGAAATTTTTTGTAACAAAGTTTGAGAACTCTGGTTCTGTAAAATGTAATGTCTTTAAATTTTTGTTTGTAATAATACCGTTATAGGATCTTTCCGTAATCAGTTTGCTCATGGGGTGTTTCCTGAAACTGTTTCCGATAATACTGGAGTAGCAGTCATTATGAAGCACTGATATGAAGCACACATGAAGACATGAAGCACTGACTTGCTGTTTGAACTGACTTGACATGAAGCACTGACTCGCTGTTTGCTACAGTATTGTATCCAGCAGGTTTCTTCATTTTCAAGAATGCGCTCAACTGCATGTATTATCAAGAAAATTCTCTATGCATCACCAATTGTTAAACTATGTTTGCTCAGGCTTTGGTGATCTGCAAAGCACTGCCTCAGTTTTGTTTCGAACTGATAATTTTTTTTTTTGTCTAAACTGTTTAATTGTAGTATCTCTCTATAGTTAATTGCTTGTAATTATCATCTTTTTAATTTCCCATGTAGAACTTTGCATTTGCTATGAAAAAATATACGATGCGCTTTTGTCTGCTCACTCTCAAAGACATTTATTCATTAAATACAATGCGGCAATTTGTATCAGGAACAAGTTAGGACTTTGAATCTGTGTCCTCATGATACCGTTGCAAAGGTGCCAAGCACAAATGCATACATCCAGAGCACCTGAAGAAGTGAACTATTTCCAAAGCTAACAAAAGGATTACCATGGGGAATTTCATCACGCAAAACCTTACAGCACTCTTTGAAGACCCATTTCCTAATTTAAGTGCATATCTATTGTGAAAACGGGTGTGTGTCATTATCGGGTGAATACTTCTGTGAATTTTGCTTGTCAATTATTATTACCCTTATAAAAAGTAATAGTATTTCATGGGGCTCAAATTAATATTCTAGATAAGTTATTGTTTTTGTTATATAATAAAAACAGAAATATTGAGGGAATTTATGGAAGTGATTATCTGCTTTATTCTAATTCCGTCTTCTGCTAAAGTTTGCGCTTTATTGACAGAAAAAAAACCTCTGCTGCTGATGATCTGAGTGCACCCTGGCTGTACATTTTCATTTCGACCATTAAATACACAATTTCTCCAAATATGAGTTTCTCCTACAAGTAAAAATGCTTACAGATTTGCAGTGGAGAATGAATCATCCTTGTCTGATCTACGCTAAACTTCACTTGACTGAGTTGCGTATTTTTGGGCTGAATAAATTAAAAAGGATTTAAATGGTCTGGACAAAACCGTACCACTATTTTTGAAAGTGAATGCCATTTTCATACAAAAGCCATTATCACAAGCCTGCCTTTTAACATAAACTCCTAATGCATCCTCTGACTGAAAATGACAAATTGTATTTCAGAATATATTCAAGGAACGAGAAATTTACAAAATCGTTTCTTCATTTCAAATCATGTGTTTCTTTGATGACTCATATTGTTGACGCTGTTGCACGCATTACTAAATGTGAACAGAGATGTGCTTTCACTGCTTAAGTAACACCAACTACGCCATTTTTTTCGAATAAACTTCACTGACGAATTTTTGCTCAGTGAAAAACTTGCATTAAACTTGTCACCACATTGTTTCATTTTCGGAACGAAACGAATATTTTCAAGCCATTTCTTCCAGCTCCAATCTTGGATATCATCCAGGAATCCTTCGGTATCAATTGTTGTACAAGCATAACATTTCATTGTGGAACGTCGTCCACTAACCATTGTTGTTGTCCGAAGCAAAATCAAAGTAGCAAGCACCAGCTTGTTGCCGCATAAAATCAAAGTAACATTAAAGTTTCTTCCAAAATTTAAAGCACTTTAATGAGTGAGAGCAAGGACGGGATTTTGAAAATTTAATTAGAAACCCCATAGTTCTATAGAGATCCATCTTTTGATACTACGTAGTAATGACCATGTACTTTCAGGGGCATAAACTGAAACATCTTTGTCTATTAGCGGTCTTTATATTATAACAGTTCTAAGAATTGCAGTGAATTGTTTGTCGTCTTTATGATCTCAATCAGATAGATAGCTGTTTGTTATGCTTAACAAGACAATACGAAAGAACCTTAACACATTTTTAGGTTGTAATATCCATTGAGTTTTCTATACTTTCCATATTATTTACTCCAAATAAATGTTTACATAATGTTTGGCATTTACATGATAACTATTTGAATTTTTAACTTGAATGAAAAAACAGACAAAACATTGAAATACTTGTTATTAAGGCAAAATTAAGAAGAAAATGGCATACTTTCCAAGTTTTTTAAGAGACAAGCAAAATGAAAAAAAATTTCGAGCTTCCATATCTATTATCCATACACTGATAGTACTAGTTTTTCAATTATAAGTTCTTTTTTTTCCAGAAAACTATGGCCTCTTACGTCAATGAACTTTTGCATTTAATGAATTTTATTTCACATTTTTAGCTCTGGATATGAATGATTTTAAACGAAGAGAAATGTAGAAGTGAAGAAAAAAACTTCCCTAATTGTATATAATTGTATAAGACTCCTTTTAATTTCGATGCAGTTGTGATTTATGATTTACTGTTCTACACTCACAAAGCATCATAAAAATTGGAAAAATTAGTTTTCAACCACCATGACCTCTTAGAATAGTCCTTACGATGGGAAAAGTCAAGGCTTGAACCTGTTTCCAAAATCCATTATATTTGAAAGTTTTTAAAGGTTATCCTTCAGTTTCTAGAAATCTTGTGTAGTCAAGAGAACATTAATCTTTCTCATGATACATCGTCACCCATCACGCTACCAGTAAAGATTTTATTCAGCAATAAACTATATAGTACTATTATACTTTCAAAACTCATCAAGGCCACTCTTCCATACAAATAGCTCACCCGTTTTAATCCAATTTCCGGTTGTATTACGATTTTACAGCAACATAAGTGAGTCATCATTATCGGATAGCGATAAGTAAGGGCAAACAAAATACCTGAATATTTTCTCGTCATTCTTTTCAAATACTTAATTGATTCGAGAACATATTCAATAAATTCGAGGCTGCTGAAAAGTACTTAGTTCAAAATTGCATGCTTAGTTATCAGAAAAATAATCACAATATAGATCCTATATAAGAATTTTTGAGATTGCTGGTAGAAGAGCTATAGAAAGAAAAGTGGAATAAGGGAATGGGATGGACTTGGTTAAGAAATTCACTCGTCACAATTAGCGGCAATCACTGAAAGGTATTCACCTATTTCCATTCTTTAATATTTGTTCGGACGTTTACATGTCCCTCAAATTAGAGCGCAAATTGTTGTATATTATATGTTAATAATGCTAATATTTTCACCAAGTATATTAAAAATTGCTCTCTTAAATGGCATAATAAACATCAATCATGCCGTTCAATTTAGACAATGGCATTTTACCATGAACGAAAACCTGAATACGTGAAAGCTAAAACCTGGATATCGCAAGGAATTTCCAAGTTCTCAGAATTCTGTTTTCATAAGCTTTCTATATCTCAATGCCTCTAACTTTAAAAAAGTTGTAGCAACAATAAACTCCTAATCCATCAATCAGTCTGGAGAATACCTGCTTGATTGATCAATCAGCCTGGAGATTACCTGTTTAGTTATATTATTTTGGCAGTCGAACATAACAAGTATGGAGTGCAAGCTCTTTTCAACGTTCAGCATTTCTCAATTAAATCAAGAATACTGCTTGAATGAATGACCACTAACAAACTCGATTTTGTTTGTTATCCCAGATTATTACACCTTGGCGACCGTAGCACAAAAACAGATATGTTACCTTATATGTAATAACTATTCTATAAAACAGTAATATGCAATTTAAAAAGAATATAATTAGAAATAAATTGAATAACTTGCAGATACCTGACTGTGAGGGCTTTTCGATGGTTGTTTCCAGTGGGTTGTATTTAAAAAGATACAAATGGTCCCTATGATGCAGCAATAACTGCATCTTCAGATAATGTTTAAGATGGTTTGATAACATAAAATAAACATGAAAAAAGCATAACAGTGCGAGCCATCCACAAATCGACGAGATAATTTAACTGCCGATGGATGCTGCATCGTCCCAATACCATCCATTGCTAATTATCAAACAAGCGGTCCTGGCAGCTTTCCACTCTCTTATTTTAGCTGCTCTTTTACTGTACTTATGTTAGTAGCTAATAAAGTAGCTAACAGTAGCTAATAATTCTTGGTATTTCTTTTGCAGTATTATTAATCTCTTAATCAAACTTTATAAGCGACATCTCAATCTTAATCACCAAAGTTATAATGTCAAAAAGAAACATGCCGATGCAGCCACACAGCCGCTGACCGCGAATAATGGAAGGATTCGAAAAAACATTTTGAGGCAAATCTTTTGAGAAGTCTCATCGACTTTTGTACCACAAAGCATAATTGAAAATAGTTAATTGTTTGCAGTTTATTGAAAGAAGACTGCATTGCAACAAATTATTTGCGCAGGATATTAGTATTTCGCCAGCAACTAAGAATTACGCTAAGTGAACAATTGATAGTTAAAAATTGTTGGTTATTAGGTTGAAATTTGTTTTCTTTTTTTTGCAAATATGGCGGGCTAAAAAATTTGTGGGACTCATATTTGCAAAGCCATTCTTATGTTTTAAGAATTATTTTAAATTTAGAATTTTTGATCTTAATCAAAAGGTTTATCTTTCAGGTATTTTTGTTATTTTTAAATTTTTTGTTTTTCGTGCTTCTCATCGGCAATACAATTCCCATAAGGTGCTGGAAGCCTGGTCATCCGCTTCTACAAACATTTCCAAACTTTTATGGTAACTTCATTCTCAGAATTTTTTCAAACATATTCTTTTGAGCATATTGCCAATGGAAATATAAACAAAGAAATGCATCCAGTTGGAGCCGAATACCCAAACGTATCGGTGAATGGGTAGTCTTCCATGTCATGAATTGCAAGTCAAATTCTGGTAGCTTCTGTCGTCGACAGATATCCGATTCATCTATATACACCAACATTCAAAGGCCTACATCAGGCTTACACATTTTTCAAAAATAAATCGAGTGACCATTTCAAGGTTCCGAAATCATAATCCATTAATTACGAGAAAAATCATGAAAGATTGCTTTTTTGTTACATATCCACTCAAAGGCTAGTCAAATTCATGCTTCAGTTGAAAATAATTGAAAGCAAAACATGACCCGAAGTTCGGAACAATATCAGTTAAGAAATCAGTAAAATAAGTTCAAGTAAGAAGTGAATATCGATATAAAGATAAAGAAGCTGCTATTGGCTATCCACCATTTTCAATGTACTATTTTGTACATAAAAACTATGATTTATATTGAATAATAAACTACTAACAGAAATTGTATTTGATTCTGTAACTAGTCACGAAATGAAAATAATGATCCAAACTGACAATGTAATTACAGGAAATGATGCCATATCTAAACTTATTTTGATACATTTTGAATTGGAATTAAAAGTTTGGAGAAGTCTACCTTCAAAAGTACCTACCAAACTTGAGCTGAATATCGACAATTTTTTCATTGCGATGGCACTTACCGAGAGCACTTTCAACATCGTAATATAACATCGTCAAGCATTTAAGAAACAGCAATGCCCATGCTATTCTAAATTTACCCAATTTTCAGGACTACGTGCAATTCATTAGACTGCATGCAAAATCAAATTCTAAAAAACTTGTAGTAAATAGGCAAATAAGCTGTAGTACTTGTTTTGTGCACGGCCAAATCATCGGTATTCCATGTGCACTTGTTTTACAACAAAACCCTTTAAAATGCCATACCAACCGTTTTTTGTAAGGTACTGACTTGGGTCAAACTCTTTGGTAGTGAGCTCACGCTAATCGAAATCATTTTCTTTTTAGTCCAGGTAGTTTCAGTGAACAGTAAATCAGGGAAAAAGAAATTATACTAGCACACTTGCACAGATGAATTTGTTAAACCATAACCAATATTACCGTGTAATATTCATTTTCACTTAGAAATTTTTTCAGGCGAATAATCCTGTAAATTTTCATGACCTCCCAATTAATATATTTATATCAGAGAATTAAATGTTTGAATTGCAATGTATATGTATAAGAAAGAGACGAATAAGAAAGAAATAATCCGAAGATATGCCAAAATGCCGCAAACTGTTTTTATGTGTTTCGCGGTATCTTTCAAGTGATCAAAATTTCTCATATTCGTCACCAACATCTAAAATTGAATGATTGATCAAAAGTGCCAAAATTATGCAAATTATGGCTATTAATGCTAGGAGCATCTTGGTTTTTGTAAACAGTAATAATGGTTAAAAAGCGGATAAAATTCCCTATTATTAGCAGCGACTGTCCAATCTTGACATTTTGTTTTTTCATTTGATAAGAAATAGAGTGTCAGTTTAACAAAATTTATGAAACTTAGGAAAACTCATTAAATCTAAAGTTTTCTGATGTCCAAAAGGACACAGAGTTGGGGATGGAGTTAAATTGATGGGGGAAGTAATGCAGTGTCCTGAAGCTATCGATACTGCATATGATCAAATATGCATGAAACATTCCGCGTCCATCTTACAGAATGTTTGCTAGCAACTACTTTTTTAGTTTACTCTGCTAAGCACTTCTAACATACAGCATGTCAATATCCTGAAGAGTTTCGTCAATTTCTAAGCATTAACTTGCGGTATTCTTGAAGAATGGAATTACTCATTACTCTGTGAAATTTCTTGATCTTCCCGAATGAGATTTTGATAAACTTTCAGCAAAAAATGTGTAAATTTTCAAAAAAAAGATGATTTTTTAACTACTTATTTTCAGCGATCTAGATTCCCTGCATACAAAATTCCAGACTCCGAATTCTTATGAATAGTACGAACAACCTCATTAGTCAGTTAACTATTCGTTTTGCGTCAATCTCATTTCATCCTTTAAGGATTCTGAAAACAATGTTTGTCGTTTGGTATGACCAGACGAAATGCAGAAAACGTGCAATCTGGAGAAACACTGAATTAAAAAGTTCAAAAAATTCAGCCAAAACGTTCGCATCCGCTAAGCAAAACGTGCAATCAGTATCTTCAAACCCAATTTAAGCTGAATTTACCTTTTTGTGAGTTACCCAAATAAGAGGGAGAGTATCCTTGATTCAAAATTTCATTTGGATGTGTAAATTTATTAAGGCATTTGGATGTGTAAATTTATTAAGGTTAAACGGACTGAATTTCAGAAAAATCTAGTATTGGAATCATTGTTAAACTTTCTTTGAGGATGTGTACCTTTTCTAATGTTTTCAAAAAACTTTAAATTTTCACAGAAACAAGAATCTGAGAAAGATGTAATCAAAAAATTGAAGGCTATAAATTTGGGGAATCAAGTTGAAGAATTACATCGAGCTATAAAACTGTTATAAAAATAAGAATAGTTTTCTGGAAATGTATTTCATGCAGTTTGTGTGTTTGTGTGGTTCTGTCCCGATCTTCTAACGGCTTTGTTTTTTCTTTTTTTTTTTTTTGTCTTTTCTTACCATTTTTATAACAATTTTTCCGCATCATTTTTTTTGAATAAGAATAGTTTCTTTTTTTTTTTAAAAATACTAGTTCGAATTATTCTTCCCAAATTTAAATCTTTGTGCGAAGTTCGCGCAATGAGTCCGGAGTGTTAGAGGCAGAATAAGAATATATCGGTTGTCATCCATCAGTACTTCAGGCCAGATACTCTAATTATTATACTATCTAGTTAGGGAAGACGACCTTCGTTATTTGAAAATTGATTTCGTGATTAAGCAACCATGCCATATGCCTCGTGCATAGGAATTTAACTAGATCACAATGGAGCATTTATTCTGAAAAACAATTATATATAACCATTTCTCATATGATAAGCCTACCGTAGACGATAATAAACTTTTCACACAGTTAATTATCTCATAAAAATTTGAGAACAATGCTCCAAAATCCTGTCTCATTTTTGCAGAAAGCATGAAATGTGCTCCTATTTTGATGAAGTCGTAGCAACTAACAAGAGAAAGTCGAAGTCCTCCAAATGAGAATCTAGAAGATAGCGACCTGGGTTGCATTTCATGGCAGATGAAAAGGATAAGTCGTATTATTCGTTTAAAAGTTTATCCACTTCAGAGCATTTGTAACATTGTATGAACCTATCAGATTACTTGGAACCTTTCTGGAGGATAGTGAAAAAAGAACGGAACACACGTTCTGCGACTAATCATTAAATGAACTTGCATATCGTGAACCATATTCCCTTAGCTGTGCAATTTTTTTTTTGGTTTATACAAATGCTTCTTTGTTTATATGCCTCTTTCTTGAATAGATTATGCAGTGTGTTAAAACATGGAATAGACATGCTGATATGTGAATTGATGTTCAACGCACTACATTACACTGTTTTTCACAATTAGCAATTCCTATATTTGAAGTAGTAATTCGACTGATCACTAAGAATATGAGCATTATACAAAAGCAGCAGGTTCTGAGTTGGGACTGGATGCGAGGGCATAGTCAAGAGCAACACACTAAAGACCACGAAATCATTATTGAAGCAGTAACTAAACAAATATTCAGGAAGCTACGCAGTATGACATGCTGCTTCTGCAGTACACTGACATTTTCGTACAATGCGAACAACCTGCGAAGTAGTACTACCATCTTTGCAGTACATTTTCAACCTGCGCCTCTTACTTTTCACGACTGCACAACACTGTTTATTGTCATTACCACACCACCCATTACATCGACCATTTTTGATTCGTTCTGCCGAACGGCAGTTACCGTCCAAGTAATGATAACGAAATTTCTCTTTGGCACAAAAAACTTCACCTGAAATTTGGGAATTTCATATGCAGGAAAACTATATTTCCTAAGAAATACAAATGAATGCGATAAAATTGCACAGCATAATTCAAACAGCTTACGTCGTTGACAATGCGTGCCACTATAACCAGGAGGACAATGACATATGTAACCGCTGGATAACGAGGAATTCGTAATGCATGTACCGCTGTAACACTGGACACCACTACAGAGATCCACACTTTTGGCACATCCATTTAAAATCTTCTCCTTCTGTTCCACCTTATCGAAATCAACTAACACATCATTAACATAAAAATCGGAGATGCATCCTGAAATTCTATTCCAAGTTAATCATTTACAGTATCAGCAGGTTTTGTTGAATGAGACCCTGAGAGACTCGAAAATGACGACATTTGCTAACCAATGCTTTAGCTCACCTTGTTAAATAAATGATCTCTCATGATTTATCTTGCTAAAAAACAGAAAAACAAAATCAGATCAGAGTTTCTAAGTTCGAAATAACAAAATTGATAATACTACTTCAAACCAACTGAAATCAATTTTATTAATTTCCTTTAATAATATTGATCTATTAATGAGAATGAAGCACAAGCATCAAATGTTATTTCATTTTTATACATTCCTAAACAACGGGAACTTCTTTATTGTTTTTTGTCGATAGTAATAAAACTCGTGATAAAACAGACGACGTCAAAAAATGGATCCGCAGAAATCTAACAATTGAAATTCTGTTCATTCCTTGAAATTTACCTTTAAAGCTATGTGCTTGCTTTAAATGAAAAGCGGTAATTGCTTTAATAGCAACAGAGGCCGGGATGCCACCAATATGTAAGAATTTCTTGCTTGTTAATACGAACGTTTCTTTTGGGCCACTGTTTACAACAGTCTGTGGTTCATAACTATCAATTTTTAATGTTAGCGTTATTCCTTTGATATAAATTTCTATCCGATGTGGACGTCCATCATGCACTAAATGGAGTGTTTAATAATGGTTACACCATATTTCAATATTTTAATTGAGATTCAAATATGATCTCTAATCATTCGACTTCATTTCTTCCTAGCGGAACTAGTGTTAAGAATGCTTCAGTATCATCGTCAGAAAACATAAATCCTTTCTAAATAAAAATAAACATCGTATAGAAAATAAATAAACACCTTTCAGTATAAAAATAAACATATAAAGATCGATGCCTAAAAAGTACCAGTAACATAGCTGTACATATGAGATGCAGGAAAATTGCCCACACAGAATGAAATTTTCAAACGACCGTCGTATAATTCGACCGATAAGTGTGCATTATCGCCATAATATACGACGACTCCGGTGCTGAAATAATCTATGTGAATCGCTGTTCTAAAGTTTAGAGAGAGGTTTACTAAGAATCATCAGAACAATAACCTAGCAGTAGTAATCAATGTGAAGGTTAGATTTCCATTCGGTGAAGCAATGAAGGGTTCCAAAGCGACGAACGAATCATTTTGAACATATCCTGCAGCTCTCAACTGTTCACACCGCTTACCAGTATATCCTTCAGAACATTTACAGAACACGTCATTTCCTAATTCATGGCATACACCCTGAAGTAATTTATACTTATCATTATCGCACAACAGCTGGAAATTCAAAAGATAAACGGAAGTCTAATCAGATGGAAAGAAAAAGCTCGCATGTTCGCAAGAATGTGCATGACATGGTGATGTCTTCGGATAGTAATCGCCTGACACCGGTGGTAATTCGCAAAGTTTTCCCGTATATCCGTCGATACATTCACATTTATATGATTGTATACCGTCCTGAAAAATTTTGTGGATGCAAATTCTTTGCTATCCTCAACACGCCAACATTCGGTGTTTAACATTCAGAATTTTTTGGTAGTTGAACTATAACGCACTTCCTATGTGCGTTGATGACCATTTGCATGCATAGGAATTTATCTATATTGGAATATTATAAGTGAGAAACAGGAGACCTAAAAATTAAAAGACTAACAACGCAAATTGCATTATTTTTGCATAGATTATGTGTACAATCATTAATGTTTATCGTACAGTTGATACCGGTAAAACCTGGCAAGCAATCACATCTAAAAAAAGCGCATATTTGCTGGGACTTCAATTTTTAACTACGTGGGTTGGAAAAAAATCAATAATCACAAATATCAGCATTTTTTCTAGCAGTGCACGTCAAAGTAAACGCGTTACTTTATAGAACGTGCATGTAACATGACATGCATTTTACGATTAAAACGGATTATTTGAAAACGTTCATCATGTGGCAACCATATCGTTCTGTTTAATTCAGCTGTCGGGCAGGCCGAAAAAACAGGAAGCTGATTGCCAAGGGAAATGGATTTGAAAATTTTATTCTACACTGATATTAGCTTTTTGTTGTGCATTGAATTACAACAAGAAGGAAGGATAAATTTCCAGATTACGAAGAAATTACCTGTAAGAAACAGCTTGTCGCACGCACAGTCCTCTGTTTGCGCATGGATTCATTTTATTCGAACAAAATTCCACTTTTTCCTCACAAAAACTTCCTGTGTGCATTGATGGACATTTGCATTCGTAGGAATTTATCTAAATTGCATCTAATGAAGTAAAAAATTTTCTAAAAATATTTCCCTTGCAGAAAAGTGTCAGTAAGTTTGACTTCAATGGATCATTTCCAGTCATTCAAATATGTTTTCATTATTTGAAGGGCTTCCAGTACAAAAACGAACTTACCAAATCAATACAGGTTGCTCCATTCTGACACTTATTTTTTACACAATCATCAATATTTGTCTCGCAACGGTCACCTTCGAAACCTTTCACACAATGACATTTAAAACGCCCATCTTGAAGTATCTTCAAATTACAAAATTATAACATGAAGCTTCATTTAAAAGCTTAACAAAGGAAATCTCTCTCTCTCTCCTTCTGTCACTGAAATTACGACTATGAAAGGAAAAGAAATCAAAGCAAGAATTCAAATTACTTCCGAAATTTTAATATTTCCTAAAGCCCAGCAGTGCTAAAGACTGATATCGATTAGGTTCAGTGAGAATATCTTAGGCTACTATTTCGGCTTAAGTGCACGCGAAGAATGTAAAAAATTATGCAGCAAGCTATAGGTACGATTACCTTGCAGGTGGCATTGTTTAGACACGGCTCACCATAACACGCATCGATTTTATTTTCACAATATTTTCCGTGATATCTGGCTACGCACTTACACGCAAATGTCCTTCCTTTCATCTTTTGACATGTACCGCCATTTTTGCATGGGTTATCAACACAGGCATCACATTTAACCAACACATTTTTTGGCACTTTTTCAACACACCTGTAAAAATTGAACGATAAAATTCTAGCATGGGTCAGACCTTCCTCTAACTGAATAAAATGCAAATTCTTTACAAATACAATTACTTGAACTGTAGTTCATCGGCTGATAAGAGCAACTGATTTCGGAAATTCAAGGGAAGTTCACAGCGAGCAATTCCAGCTTCAATGAAACGACTTTTTATCCATCGGCTAAACCACGCAATATGACAATCGCAATACAACGAATTACTTCCAAGAGCTCTAGAATTTGTAACACATTTAAAGAGGACAGAATTTCGAGTAGAATATATGGACATAAAGTACGAGTTAACAAAAAATTAGTTCTTACATATGTGTAATGTTATGTAGATTGGCAAAAGCTGACTCCGGCAAAACTGAAATATCATTTCCGTGCAATGAAAGAATGCGTAAACTAGTCAAATGTGTGAATGCCTCTTCTTCTAGGCATTCAAGTTTGTTGAAACTAAGTATCAAAGTTGACAATTTGGTCAAATTCGCAAATGCACCGTTTTCAATTGCAACAATCCGGTTGTGGCTTAGATCTCTGCAAACCACGATTTAAAGATAAAAGGAAGAAATATATGTTCTGCCAATATTTCTACGATAATCAAAGTTGTTGGGATTTCTATATTAAAATGAACTGAACTATGAAATAGAGAAATATACAGTGAAAAATACTCGAATCATCAAAATACTAATTATTATTACAAGCAGACTATTATGATAGGTCAGCTAATGCTCAGTGCTTTGATCCCGATGACTCCATCATAAACTGATAAACAAAAAAAGAAAAAAAAATTGGAATTGAAACAATTAAGTCTTGATTTACTTTATTACAACAGCCCATAACTTACAATTTGACAAGATGCTTCAGCTTATTCAATTCAGGAGGTATAAGGACAATATCGTTTGAGTCCAGGAATAGTTCAGTAGTTTCAACGGGTATATCAGCCGGAAATTTTTTAAGATTTTTATTCGAACAACGCACTACTGTTTCATGACACGTGCAACCAGTTGGGCAATAATTACCATCTTCCACACAAACATTTTCCATAGTTTCTCAAAATTTTGTTTGTTTAAGGGAAATTCTTCAATCTTCTCTAATTTCAGCATTCGTAATTTTATTCCTCTAGGCTACAGCTGTTTCATTATAATAACAAAATTTAATTTCAGCTGTTGTCCCACCACTCAAAATATTCCATTTAAAACACGGGAAATACGTCAAATTTGAAAAATCATGCTCAAATTACCAGTGCAGAACAGTTCATCTTTTTTAAGAGACGTCATCATGCGACCGCGTAATTGTATCGGTTCATGACAAAGAACAGAATTCAGGAAGCGTGAACCATTCATTCGTAGATAATGAACAAAATCAACAATATGACAATTACAAACGAAATCGTTTCCATCTAACGATCTGCAAAATGACGATGCATTGGAAAAACACTTTTCTCTCAGGCTTTACTTTGTGCCATTCTTAATGTTTTTTTTTTGGCTGCAGTTAAAATCCTATCGAATAAAGAATTTGAGTAAGAAAAGAATTCAAAATCATTGGAAGAATTTCAAAATTATACACAGATTTTAACGTTGCTAGCTGGGCAAGCGAATCAGCTGAGAAGCATTTGATCTGATTGTGGCTTAAATTCCTGAAACAAACAGTAAGAATGCAACCTTAATATCCATAAAGCTAAAGAAAATATTTTCAGATAAGTGGAAAAGCTAGAAATCACTGCTTCAAGAAGTGTTGAAATAAAAACAAGTTATTTGAAGCGAATAAGACGATAACACCAAATAAATATATTTCAGGCAAATTAATTTTCAAACTGTTCATAAGAAATATGGAAGTGGAATATATGGCAATCGAAATCATCATGAAGAAAGCAGATCCTTAAGTTAACATAGCAAAAAAGTCTGCATTCAAATAATACTAAGCGCATTACAAAAAAATGCCTTCTATGAAATTTAATTTGAACATCTCATCACTTTACAAGAAGGGCTGATTACTGTCGAAGTATGTCGGGGGTTTAGAGTGGCCGAAAACTACCAAACTATCGAATGGGGTCAGATAGTTTGGATTAATGAAAAGGTGGATTTAAAACGAGCGCTTTGACATTTATAATTACTAGCTTCTTTCGGGAAAAAGTGATATTACTTCTTTTGAAACTGCAGAAAGTATTCTGAGCAATCAACAAGGAAAGGAGAGCAGAAAAAATTGCCGTTCCGATAATTCCAGTCTATAAGTACTATCTGTCAAAGTGCAATCGCACATAAAAGTTGAAAAAGTTGAGATGGATGAGCGATGATGATGCGATGGATGAGAGAGTCGTTCTGATGACTTACAAAACTTACAGTTTAGTGATTTGCAAACTTCCATTTCCAAACACTGCAGTAGAAAAATACCGTAATTTGTTGCGGCTTAAGTCACTGTAAAAGTCAATATTCATCAGTTTAAACAAAAAACAGAAATCATTTGCAACAGCGTTATTAATTATAGCATGATACTTTTAGTAGTAAGTCTTACTTCACATTTGAACATGCACGTTTTAAGATTCTTCATGCATTATTTACAGCAAGAGGTGTATTACATAGAACTGTCAGCACCTGAGAATCGAGACTGTACCGATTAAAAAGAAATCGTAGGAGGAGAAATGTATACATTCACAATCAAATGATGAGAAATAAATAAATGAATAAATAGATTGATTGATTTACTGACCAATTAATGCACTGCTAAGTTATTAAAGTAAATGAATCAGCTGACAAAATCTTACAGCTCTTGTACTTTACCCAATCCAGACAACGAGTTACTCTCGATGAATTCGATTTCGTTACCATCCAGCAGCCTGGAATCAATTTTCCTTATTTATGAGATGAACATAGTGTTTTTTTTTCAAAAGCATAAAATAAAGTTCAAAAAAATAAAGGAAAATCAATACACACAGTGTGGTTAAATTTTCGAAATGCAGATTAGTTGAAAGACGAATGGCAGTTATTTTATTGTTGGACATACGTAATTCGGTGGTATATCGAGGTAGTTTACGTGGAAAATCAGTCCAGCCTCGATTACTGCAAAAGCTGGTATATTAAGGTGACAGTATGAAAAGTTTACTATGAGCATAAAAATCCTTTTTGCGCCATGGACACATAGTATAGTATTTGATAGTTCTGAACATAAGTTACTTATAAAGAATGCAATACCTGCAATCAACGAACGTATTCAAACATGAGCAGCCAACCGGACATGGATGGTCGATGATGCAGCGACCTGCGTTAGCTGTTACATATGCCTCAGACCCTTCAAAATTTATTCCATCTACAGAAAGAAACCATTAAGATGGTGATTTTCTTTTTCTGAATTTCTGAAGAACGTATCTATTCGATATTCTTTGATAATTTAAATTACCTTTACATCGATATTTCGAGTGATGTAATGTAGATATACGTCGGTGAGCTACTCGTTTTGGTGAATCACAACGTGCACTGCTAGTTTCCACAGCTTTCTTGGCTAATAAATGAGCAAGCCATTCCTGAAAAATTGTTATTACTTTTTTTGAAATTTTCGAAATAATTCAAATTCATAGTGTATGGAATTCCAACATAAATGCTATGACGTGAATAAATGTCAAAGTCCAAAATAAATGCTATAAGTATAACAAGCAAAGTTGGCGATTAAAAGGCGAGTAATAAAGGTGGAATTAAATTCCTGTTTTTGAATTAAATGTGTTGGAGTAAGTTGAAATTTATAGGGATTGATGAAAGAACTAACGAGATTGCAATCACAAATAATTGGATTGCGGGCTAAATGAAGTGTCGTTAAGTTGGTCAACCCATCGAAGGTTCCATTAGCAATCGAATGAATTTGATTATCATATAAAGATAGCAAATTTAGGTTTGTTAGGCTTGAAAAAGTATCTTTTCGAAGACATATCAGCTTGTTGGCATTCAAAAGCAATAACTGAAGGTTAGCAAGCCCATGGAACGCTTCCGACGGTAAATTACTTATATTATTTCCATACAACACACTGTAAAAATAAAACACGTTAAATCTTCTGAAAATAGTGGCTTTACTTCTCGAAACGACCCCGAATTAAGAGAGATGGCTTTTTCCATCATTTTTATCATCGCTTCAACAAATGAATAAAACCGGATGGCTGCGACCCCGAAAGTTCTTTAGAATTATCAAAGAGAAAATCCGCTTGATCCCAGCCTTCAGAGTTTAGAATAGTTAGCATTTTAATAAATATATCATTTTGAGACGTTGAAATGTGGTAATCTCTAAGCAAAGCTATTTGTTTCTTACTAAAACCTTTAGTACATCTTCAAGTGTTCTACAATTTCGGACACAATTTTGACGAGCGAACATTTTTCTCGGATGCATAAACTGGTTCGAAAAAGACTCACAGAGAGTTTAGTGACTTCAAACCATCAAATGCTCGCGGGCCGATGTCTCCAATATTGTTTTTACTGAGATCACTAAATATAAGAATCTTAATAATATTAATTTATTAATATTATAATTTATTTCGTAATCTAACTCTACCAATAATTTCCACTACCAAAATGAGATTTTCTGAGAAAACTCTAAGCATTTGTATGGAAAATTCTGGATAACGTTTACATTATTCCGTACTTACAGTCGTTTGAGTTGATGAAGATTATAGAATGCTCGAGGAGGTACATAGGTTATTTGATTTTGTTCAAGCCTTCTGAAAAATTGAAAATTTTTGTAAATTCTCTAAAAACTTGGATTTTCTACAAAAATTTTGCCAAGCTAATTCTGAAATATGAAATGCTTTTGGTCGTAGAATGGACTACACAGTAAGGGGGTGATAAATGCCTACTTCTACAGTTTCAAAAAAAGAACTTTAGGATGTTTTTGTTCGATCAAGAAGCCACTCACAGAAATTACAGCAAACTGAAACAATATAATCTCACAGCTCAGTGGTTGTTGGAGGCAGATTAGCTGGGATATGTGTTAAACCACGATCCCGACAATCGATCGTCGTTTCGGTGCAGGTGCAAACAGACGGACATATTGAAGCATCACGACATGAAGTGGCTGCACGCTTCTCAATCCCAGAGCATTTCATTAACTGAAATTAAATAAACCGATATCCTGTCAATTCTTGCTTGGCTTGTAAAGATAGTCCAAGATTTAAGCATGCAAATTAATTTTTGAAATTTGAGCATCATTTTCAACTTTATTACATAATTTTGTCCACAACATTGTGAATCTATTACTATTAGCACTTTTTTTGTGTAAAAGATTTATGTAAGTTCTTCATCAAATGATGGAGTAGACGCTGCTAGAAAAAAACTGCGCCTTTAATTTTAGCTAATTTTGCGGGATTGAAAAAAAACCCTATATCGATCATTATTGTTTTTCCTTTGAATGAAATTAAACACTATCTCAAAAATACAATAAACAATCGATTGTTCCTATTTTATCTTTAAGTTAAAATATTTGAGATTCGATGGAGATAATCTAATTTGAAGTGTTATTTTAAGTCAAATTAATGGAGAGTCGTAATCAGTCTGCAAGATCAAAGCCGAACAGCGCCATAACCAAACACCGCTATCTCTAATTGCCTTTGGTGATTTACTTTTTTTTCTAAAGATTTTCTCTATAAATTTCTGAAATGTTTCCTGTTTTCTATTATCTATAGCTCGCCATTTTTTTTAATTCCTTAAAATTCTTCACTTTTCCAGAACTTACAAAAGACTTTAAAAATTATTGTGAATACCGTTTCATCGATATTTTCCAACATACGAGAATACAAATGTGCTGGCCGGTGGCATCGTGTATTTAGAGCCAGTGAATGTGAATTAGAAATGATCTTTTTCATCCATCGTAAACGACAATCACAAAGCCATGGATTTTCCGCCAACCTCCTGAATAATTCGGAGAAGTTCCACACCTCAACTTGCTAATAGTATTTTGTTTTCAATGACAAAACAATGCTTGATTAAACCAGAGGACCAGTTTCAATTTTTAGATTTTAGATGATTTTCTCTTCTTTCTCTTTCTTGAATAAGCGATACTTTGTCACCAATTTAATTTCAAAAAATTCAATTCAATTTCAAAAAACAATTTCAAAAGCACTGCTATTTGATTAACAGGGTCAGAAAAGTTTAAAAATAATGTTCGCCAAATAGGTGACCGCATTTTCATTTTTTCTCAAAGAAATATTCTCAATTTCCGCTTACAGGACGCGAAGATTGGACATTGGTCCAAGCTGTCCCATTGTACTCAAATTGTTACTATTCAGTGTTAAAACTTCCATTTCTGTCCATGTTGCTATCACGTGGTTGTCTAAGCTGTAAACAGTACATTTACACAATTTTGAAATGGATGTTAAATTATTTCAGAAAAATGTCCGACTTCAAGCCGATGCAACTTTTGAATTTGGTCAAATGCAGAGGGCACTAAAAAGAATAGCAGCCAGCATTGTAGTTCTTTTTAGGGAATTCATTTGTGACCAAGCTTGTTGCAGCCGCTCAGAAACATGCGAAACTGAATGACGGGACATTTCTCGTCACATTGATGTTTGTTGCCGTCATTTGCATAAGGCCAAGTTCTTCTCTTCCACCTGATTTCAGTTTTTCGATCTCAAACTTTACAAAAGAGTGAATGCGAATAGCAAAGTTTTCGAAGCGCTCTTTCTGGACAACTAAAAAAAAGACAGCTACCTGCTGAGGAACTAACAGAAGTTGTCATACTCAGAATATGAATCTAAGCTTCGAAATCTTTCGAAATGCGAAGCAATCCCCAGCTTATTTGAAATCGTTTATCGAAGTTAGAAATCATGTGTCATCAGGCAAAATACTGAAGTTTGTTCCAACGGATCTTCAATAACTCCATCCGGTGGCACTATGTGTGGGATAGCTGACTGCGAAGACAGGTCATTATCAAGTAGGTATATAAACGCATACATTATTGAATAAATAAACAGGTAAGGTGAGTAATCAAAAAACGAATAACTCACTACTCAAGAAAAACACTTAAAGAAACTGTTCTCCAGTAATATGATGTAAACTTGAAACTGGAAAAGATTAACGAAATAATTTCAGTTACCATGTTAAAAAATTTCGGTCAAGTTGTAAGTTGCGCACCGATTTCGGCCCTTGCAATTGCGAATCGGTCAACACAGTTAACAGATTCTCACTCAGATCTCTGCAAATAAAATTCCAATCCATTTTAAAAGGTTAAAATTATTTACAATATCCATGAATTTACTATCAAATCCTTTTTACCTCATCTCCCAACTTTTTTGGTTTTGTCGTCTAAACCATTTCTTTCTAAGTTTCATCTTAGAGATGTTTACTAAAACATAATAGTTGATTATTTTCAAAACTGAATCAGCCCTTATGATACTGAAAAATATATTCCATTTTGTTACAGTTTACCACTAAACATAATGAGTGCAGCCCTACCTCCTCTCCTCATTCTTCTTATATCCTTGAATCTAGTTAAAACTCCAAAGTTATCGATTGATAATCTTTTCCTCTTAAAATTTCCGACAGTTATAGATATATAGTGATTGTCTTAGACTTTGCAAGACTTTATTTTAAGGCATAATCAGGCATTACCACAACTGTCAAATCTTGAAGCCCAAATTTAACCTCACATTCGAACTTAAATTGCCAACACGGTAACTTATTTATACCTGTCCCAAATGCGGGATTGTTTTTAGTGAGGAAGAAAGCTGAAAATGAATTGAACATCATTCCATCGAATCTCTGACGCTTCACTTGTTTTGACCCCATCCGCAATTTCGATTTGCACATTTGCATTTATATGATAATGAAAACCAATATTGTATTCGTCCCCCTATTGCAACCCTTCATATTGCAATTGTGCAGTGCTGGCCTGTACTTTTTGTGGTCGTAAATTATAAATCACTTAGTAATATAAAAACAACAGCAAACAAAAAGCACAAAGATGTATCCCTAAATTACTATTTGACTGGCTGATATGGAATCAGTCTTTAGCAGAGGGCAAAAGCATAATATATTGTTTTCTTTTAGTTAACATTTTTTAAACCGTTTCTCTTCGGTTCACATTTCCCTAAGGTTTTGCAAGCACTGTTTGCGCACCTAAAAAGGAAACCTCAAAAAAGAACGGTTCTGGTATGCATGTAAGTTAACAGCATTAGGGAACCGAAGAACAAAGACAACTCTTTCAGAACGCTATGATTCAAGGTCAGTTATTTTTCCGGATACACCCAATGTTGCAAAATTTAAGATACTGTTTGACAACTGTAAAGAAAAGTGCACATATATATTAAATAATAAAATACAGAAACCAGAAAAAGAAATGGAAGAAGCTAGAAATGAGGAATTTGCTCTTCCCTACGGTGTTTCAGGAGTTACACTTCTTACCTGGAGAGCTTCGAAAATTTTATTTTTGTATAAGGTGGGATATCATGTGTGAAAACAGTAAAACCACTTTATCAAGACTTTACACGTGTGTTGTTGAATTTCTGAACCCTCATTTCTCCCCTTAGTATATCATAATTTTAGATGGTTTAGAATTTTCAAGAATTATCGTATTACGAAAATATCGAGTACTAAAATTCTATGTTGTACATTCTACCCGTAAGCTTGTTCTGAAAATTATTTCAGTCCTCATAACCTCTGCTAAACAGAACATACATCCCTTATGTAAATAGTACAACTGTTGCATATCCAGAGCAATGTCCCATTTATTGAGAAATTAAAGAAGAAATAGGTCACCTGAAAGTATAATCAATTTAAACACTTAACATTAGCCGATTTTGTCGGTCTACCATAACGGTTATTTCGCATATTATGTGAGATTTCTATAATTTAATGTTTCAGCAAGATTCTATCGTGAGCAGGTTGAAAATTGAAATCTTAGCAGCAACTTTGATGTTTTTTTTTGAGTGAGTCTTTGGAAAATCTTGAAAAAAATAAGCTTTTTCTGCAGCTCATCCCTAACCCTTCAAGGTTTCTCGACGAGCCATAAAAAATACCAAGGCTGTTTCTGAAATTTTAATTTTTTTCGGATTACTTTTGAAAAAAATCCTGATTTGGAAAAAAAATTTTTTTTGAAAAAGAAAGTTAGGCGAAAATCCCGTTTAATGGTTCCGCTATTGCTTATTCGGCATTTCGAGAGGGAAACTTAAATTTTCGTAGAGAATTCCGTCAAATTCCGCATATAGTTTCTCACCTTCTGCATCTCATTAAGCAATGCGGGAAAATTAATCAGTTCCAGAAAAGAAATATCCATTTCGAAAGTGACATATTGTCCTTTATTTTCAAAAGTTAATTCCATTTTGCAACAGTTGTTCACAGTACGCCCGTTTATAAATTCATATGCATCTTGTTCCCCCGCGCTGATGAGCCACCCATCATTCAACTCTCCTCACTGGCGTCAGCGATATATTCTTCCGGTAAGCAAAATGACTCACAAATTTTCAATAATTTACACGAAAACTGAAAAAACAACCACTTCGCACAGAATTTAACATCAAATTAGCAACGAAATTGGGACTGTCAACAATCTTATAGGGGCGGGGATTTCTAGTTAATTCAAAGAGAAGCCACTAGCAAAATAAAATTAAAACTGGAATGTGTGAAATCCTCACAGAGAACTATATGAGTATCAAAGCATCCGTTGAAATGTTTTTGGTAAGAAGTGCAACCTTTTTTCTAACCTGGCGGAAAAAACATCGTTTAGTTTTTGACTTTAATGCACTTATCAGTTCCAATCGAAGCAGTGCTTCACACAGAATTGTCCCTTTCCGGCTACTTTTTTCATTTAGCTCTTCAATATTTAACTATATTTTCCAAATCCAAGAAACTGATCACTTTGTGACAAATTCAATTTTTTTGTACTTTTACTTGCTTTTACCGGGCCAAACTTAGGACAAATCCCAAACTTTTGGCATGCAAGTAAACTAATGCGACTAAAAATAAGATCGTATCAGCTTTTAACTTTCTAAA